TCCTCTGAACCTTTTCTAACAATTCAATGTCATTCCTAATGTTAGGGTCCCAAGACTGAACACAATTCTTTAACTCTTTCATTATGGGCTGGGTGGAATCCACCCAGCTTGTAACCACAAAAGTATCGATGAGAGTAATATACTGTGATTTTTGATAATGTTTGCATAATTTTATAAAATTTTGCAGGTTATTGGTATACATTACAAGGCTTTCATTTACAAAATATCAGGTTTTGAAATCAAGTATTAAGATTTTTTAATTAAAGATTTTCTCATAAAATTTTGTCTTTCTGAATGTTTGTTATCCAACATGCAAAGTAATTTTGATTTTAAGATTATAAATACCCTTATGCATTATAACATTTTCAAATTTCACATGCGAAATCTTATAACCTCCGGATAATTATCAAATTGAAAAAAAAACTTTATATTTTATCTGTTATTTTCATTGCTGTATCTCTAAAGGGTGGTTCGATTTGACAGACTTTGTAACCTTTATAAAAGAAATTAGGAAATAAGTATAAATTATGCTTTTTTTGTTCTAGAATGACTACAAATTATAATATGAAAACACAAATTCTTAGTCTAAATAGCTTACATTTAATAACATTATACATTTATACATATTTATTTTTAGTGTACTGACTTTCAGCCGTGCCTGGCTAACATTATTAAAGTTGCAATGACATGGTGCATGTGCACTCATGTTACTTTATCCAAAGGTATAAAAACTGGCCTTAACAAAGTGACTTGTCTTGGCTGTGTTTTAGTAACTAGTATTTTGTAAAATACAGTCGCATTTCAGTTTTAATACATCATATGCGTATATACATTATTACTATTTAAAATAAGTACCTAAATTTCAGTTATTTTTCTTAAAACATAGTACAGTAAATAAAGAATTGTAGAAAATAATTATCTATTCTAGTTACGAACTTTGAACTCATTTGCCGTTTGCCAAGCCTTATTAAATTTTGCACATGGAGGATGTGAAACAAAATAAATTTTTTTAGGTTTTATATATACATATTGACAAAACCCAAAATCATAAATTACTCTATCAATACCACAGAATTGCACTACAATATATCAAGCTTGTAACTAAGCTGTATTGGGTCTTAAAAAATATGAAATTCTGAGCTGACTAAAGATTTACCAGCTTGAAATCTTGTATCAAAAGAACAAGATTGACAGCCTAATACTTCAAAATGGCTGAGAAAGCCACTAGGGGGACATTCTGATTTTTTAATTGGTTATTCACATGTTATAGTGTTTCCAAAAATGGAAAGAAGTGGGTGGGGCAACTATGTTTGTTTCAGTAAATGTAGCAATATCTCGACAAATAGAAGAGATAGGAGGTTCTTGTTTTTGATTCTAGCTTATCAATATTGGGAATTTGAGTTCCCAATTTGAATCAGTGCTGCATTAAACATACCACGTGACACACAAAAATCGATATTTAGGATTCTTTTTTAATATGTACTTTTAAATTAAGAAATTAATTAAGGGATCATACTCAAATTTGAATTATAATCTACAATTTAATATCAAACTTATGCACATACATTCATAAAATAATAGTTCAATAAAATTTTAAATGTGAGTCTACAAATGCAGTGACATGGCCATTGACCTGTGAGATAGGGTTAAAAAAGTATTTTGTTAATTATTAGGGTATCTTCATCTCAAACTGTTTTCTAATATTTCCAAACAGAACACATTGTTGCCATGGTTATTGAGAAGGATCCTTTCCTCTAAACAAATCATAATATACAAATCTTATACTATCATGAAATACAGTATTTTCCTTATCCAAACACATTTCACAAACTTTTGTAACTAACCAAATGTGAATTGCATTCAGCAGAATAGAAACTATTATCACTTGCTAAATTGGCTCTCCAATGCTTTAATCTTGCATTGGCTGTGAGAAACTAAAGTATACAATAGCACAGTCTAGTTTTTACTTAAGTGCTTTATTATTCAATAGTTCTATGTTACTTAGGGCTGAGTTTGAAATTCGTTTGCTAGTCAAGAATTCAAAAATACTCAACTAAATCAATAAAATAATGGTGAATTTTTGATACATGTGATTATCTTTCTGATTAGTAAGTTCCAATCACCAGAAATCATTAAAATTTATTACGATGAAATGTCTCCCTCAAGTGATGTATGGGGAGGAAATGTTTGCCACAGATCATCGATGTTTTCATGGGCTTCCACTCTATTTGCAGTACTTCCTGCTTACCTGATGGCTACAAACTACATCTTCATTGTTCTGTCTAAAGGGAAATGTTTTCCCTGTTTTTTTTTAGGTCATTCTACCACATTGTATTATTTGGCTGCACTGAACTGGAAAATGGTAATGGTAGCACTGCCACCAAAGGAGATTGGTGGATGCAAGGTTCCTCATTGACTGTTATCTAAAAGTCTGGCAGTGTTCATAATTGTACCTTATTTTTCATTATTCTTGAAATTTAAGTTAATATTTTACATGTAAAATAATGCTTTTCTGTAATACAGTATTATTCTCTGATGTTTTCATTGAAAACTACTCATAAAGAAAAGTCTGAACTCTTAAAAAAACTTATTCTTGTTAAACAGTAATTATCATTTTTTATATGTTTCTAACTTTTTCATTGACTATTTTTAATAATATTCTTAAAACTTCAAAGGTTTTGCAATTGTGTACTAAGTACTTACGTATTTTATAAAATAGCCTTTTTTGCATTAACATTCATTGCTTTGGTAAATAAGAGGATAGGTAGATGGTAGCATGATTGAACCATGCTACTGTATACATGCTTTGAGATGTAAGATAAAAAAAAATGTGTGTACATATGTTATGTAATATGGCTTTGAACTTTGGTTCTGTTTCAGGGTGGTTTCTAGAGATATACAGAGGTTGAGTATATTATATTAAAATGATCTTGGGGCCTCACCATCTTGTAACAGATCATGTGGCCACTTGCCATTTTCTGTCTGATGATAGTGCATCTGGACAATAGTTTCACAGCATGTTTTCTATTGCAAAAGGTTGTGTTATAAAGCTGTCATGGCCAAAGAACACTACTCCTTCCTATACTCTTTCCATAATCTATGTATTGTACAAGGACAAATATTTCCCAATGTCCATTTCGACAGTCACAGTGCACAGAAACCCATAGGTGTTGTGTCCAGTAACTTGACTGGAATTCATTGATATGCATTTACTTCTTGAGCTGCTTGAGGTATATCAAGGAAGCAACTTCTTTACACACAAATTTTGTCCCTTTTCCTTCTTGATTAGGTTATGTACTTTGATTATCACAGCTGGGGTACAACTTGTTTCTCTTTCTGGAATGTCCAAGTTGATGCATTTTCCTTTGTTTTCCAATTATGTTGAGTACAAGGGATATTGCTGATCTGAAAACATCCTTATGATCTGAGTGTATGAATAATTGCATCAGAAAGACTGTTTCACACTATTCCCAAAAATGATCAAGTTTCGATGTCATCACACTACCTACAATATTCCCAACAATCTCAAAATGTTCTGATGCATTTTATTCCACTATGATTGTATAGGCTGTGGTTGTCAGATGATTTGCTGATTTACTATATTCAAAATTGTTTCAATATAAATGCTTAACTTTCTGTATATGGTGGATTTTTAAGACAGCGGTTTCTTTTAAAGAAAACCAAGTCTTGGGATGTGAGAAACTAGATGATAAAGATTTTTTTAAACTCCTGCCACACAAGTCAGCCTGGCATTTGATGTGGATCCAAATATATGAGTCATTCCAGAAAGGTTTGGATTGTTTTGATTAGACAAAAAAGATGTTTGGCACTATTTTCATGGTTTAAGTTGCTGGACCAGACACATGACCTGACCCAAAATCATAAGAGCAAACATGGAAAAGTTAACTTGTAAATGTAAAGTAAAATGATGTAGCAATGAAACATGCTTGAAATGTTCTAGATGTGGTTGTGAATGTGATGGTTTAAGTATAGCGATTAAGTTAAACTGTGGGTTCAGGTTGGAAAAGGGATGAACTTATTCAAAGATATCCCAATCGATTTGACACACCAGCTGAATCAAAGATTCATTAATTGACAGTGAAATATAAAAAAACAGGTACAATAGTGTTATGTTTAAAAAGGAGGATTGGAATTATATATGAGAAATCTTTAGTTTCAATATTTTCTGAAACTAATGGTACAGAAAAGCCCAAATATGCAGTGTTGAAGTTAAAGCAGATGCATCATGCACTATAAGATGATTTTCCTAGTGATTCTTACATTAAAAATGCCATTTCTGCAATGTAGTGTAAATCTAAGAAGGATGGTATAATGCCCAGTATGATACCACCATTGTATAATCCATATAGATTTCATCATGCCATACTTTCATTAATATTTAGTTGTTTTTTTTGTTTTGTTTTAGAAGTTGTGCCAAATTTCACTCCTCCAAGTCTATCAAAATAACCCTAAATTACTGGTTTCTGGAATTATCCCCCTGTTGATCATCTTATGCTCAGTACCAAAAGATGCTGAGCTGGCTCATGTGACAGCTGTTAATATGTAATGTGTGTGTGTCTATATATCACTAGCAGCATATTTTTGATAATTTAGAAATATAGCTTAAGTATGTGTTATATGTACAGGTGAACAGCAAAAACGTGTAATTGATAATATCAGTTACAAGTGGTTATTTTCAAAAGATATGACCTTCAAGTGTACTTTTACCAATTCTGTATAACAATATTTTTTTTTCTATATGGCTGTATTTAGTGTGTTTAACCTTCAAGAGAGTTTTGGTGTTCACAAAAGAGAGATGGTTAAATGTTTTTTTTTAATATTCACAGGTATGTTTCTAATTGTGATACTATTTATTTACGTATTTTCAAAGATGTAGATTAACCATTTACACATGTAACAATTACTGCATATGTTAATGAAGAGTAAATATGTTTGACAGGTAAAGTCCAATTTGTATATATTTTATACTTATTTTACAGCAGCACTTTCTTGTACCTCAAGTTTATGCTGATATGGGCACTTGTTCTTATGGCAGACTTCATTTTGGAGTTCAGGTTTGAGTATCTGTGGCCTTTCTGGCTACTGTTACGTAGCGTATATGACTCCTACAAATATCAGGGCCTGGTAAGCTTTAGTATATACATATGTTTTTTTAAATTACTTGTACAAAATGCTCAATTGAAATTTAACAACTGTAAATGTGTATAATTTCTACACAATTTTAGTTGAGTTTTCACTTTTTTTGCATTGTTGAAGTAGTTGTGCTGTTATTTATTAAGAAATACAGTTATAGGTGCATGTATAATTATTGTTTTTTTTTGTAGTTTGATGTTTTGTGGTTTGTGGATGTTGTTTTGATATAAAAAATTTTGTATTCCTTAAATGTTTATGTAAATTGCCTTGTGTAATTGATAAGTAGCTGCAATTCATAGTTTTATTTCTATCTTTTTTTTTAAATAGGAGTTAGGAACATTTTAAACAATATTTTACTAGAATTCACAAAATGGTTTGGAGAACATATTCTGACTTATGCTCAGGTGTAACTGCAGGACTATAGTAAGACTGTTATTGTGATATAGTTGAGTGTTATATATGCAGTTCAGTAGTTGTTAATTCATATTTCCTACTCAACTAATGGAGGATTATGTCTGTTGTGTAATACATTTATTGAAGTGATGCAGTATAATTTCATCCTAAGTTCTGTAGTTTAAGAGACCTGTGTTCCTTTATACTGAAATTAAGGGGACAGAGTGGAAATTGGGGGATATCCTTGAGACATGTTAATTTTCATATTGAAAAGTATTACTAAGAATTAACTATTATACTTAGTTGATGGAATAGGATTATGTTAGCAGTGATTTGATAGTTACTTCCACATTAAACAAGTTATTGTAACAATTGTACAAGGTGTTTTAAGTTTCCAAAGTGAAATCCTAAGTAATCTGCATGGATGTGGCACCTTAGGTATATGTAAGTTAGCTGTTCTTAAATTAAACTTGGAACATTGAGTGGACAAATAACTAACAAATCGATAATAATGTTGTAAGTAGTAGTTTGAATGTTCTATTGAGTTTTATTAGTATTTTATTACTCATCAGTAATGTAAATCATATTACAAATGCTTTTATCTTTTATTTAAATTATTTTCTGCTTAGACTTGTAATAATGAGTAATAAACAACATAAAGAAATGTAAAAATAGTCAAGCACCTGGTCACATTTAGTGCCTGGTGCCTCAGTTGCTTGTCATAGAGGTGAGGTTTGCTGATGTGATAGACAAATTGTTAGCTTTGCTTTTATCTTGTATAATTCCATGCTAGTTGCCTTTTGATTGGTCAAAAGTGAAATAAATCTAGTCATGTTTATTACTTTACCCTTTGGTGCAGCCATTGCTTTATGGCGAACACATAATACAGTTTTAATTTACTGTTAGAAATGTGAAATGAGCAAATGAAATCAATAAACAAAGCCTAATCTGCACAGATGATGATCTTGGCCACCAATTCATATCCAATATGGTGTATGTTACTATTAAAGACATTGGTAATACTTGCAGTTGAAAAATTGTTTAATTTGTATGAGAAAATGGACCAAAAATGGCATCAAATTGCTTCAGTGTTTTCACACTTGAAGAGACAATTGACCTTGTATAAGCTGATGATGATTCTGGCTCTGAAACTGAATTATCTGATGATTATTTTGAGCAATGATATGACTGGAAAAAGTATGTGGCTAAAGGGTTAAACCATACTTCAGAAAGAATCCTTGTGTGAAATGTAGACCTATTCTTAGAAAATCATATGCATCAGAAAGACTCCTTTTGTGAAATATAGGTCTGCTTATAGAAAGTTTCATTTGACAGATTTAATAAATTAAAATGGCAGGTGTGCCATGGAGTCCATGATGTGAAATAACTCCTGCAGTCTTGCCATAACACTGAATGTGGTTACATTGATGAACACGTATTTTCTGACAACTTCATCATGTGAAAGGCATTTTTGTACATGTTAGACTTAGATTATTGGTATTTGTGTCAGCAGTCAACTAACTCTCATCGGTTTGCATTGTGAATGTTCACTGAAATTAAATTTATCAACCATAGCGTATCGTATTACTACATTTGATATGGTTATTTCTTGTAAACATTTTCTTAAATGTGAGAAGTGAACATTATTTTGATACACTTTTGTACTGTAGTATTTTTGAACTAGTTTATGTTTTGCATTAGTTATATGTGTGAGTTTTATTTTCCTTCACTTATAGACTTCTCAGGAAAATATCTCAATAAAAATTTAGACAGAACTTTAGGCATAGCTTAACTATGCTGTGGTTTTTTATGAATGAAACCTTTCAAAATATGTGATTTTAAAGAATCATCTTATAATTTGAAATATTTGTACATGTAACTTTGTTACTTGTGTGTAATTATGTGTGTAACACACACGTACAACGTATAAAAATAACTTTAACTGTGTTGGTTATGATGTCATATGCAGTCTACAACAGTAATTTTCAACCTTTTTTTCACCCCGTGGACTGGCAACATCTTCATAAAAAAGCTTACAACCCATACTACCATATATGGTGTATAGATATGAAGTACACAAAAGGTACACAAAGTTGTAAAAACAGGTTTGAAGGGATTACATATTTGAAAATTATTGTTATTTAATTAGAAAGTTAATCATCTGAATGTAGTATTGCATATTCTGAAAAAGCTGAAATATATAACATATAGTTCATATACCTAAATTGCTTTTTACTTTCACAATATTTTCAACTTCGATAAAATTAAGCTTTTCTTTGACATTTAAGTTGTTATTGCATGTTTAACATCTGTTACTTCTTGATATGTATAGTTTCACAATATTTTCAAAACATCAACCATTGAGATTTTCAGATTTTTACTAGATGAATGTTAAGCATAACTTGATGGTACACTTTTATAAATTACAGTGTTAATTGTTCATTCTCTACATACAGAGGGTTGAGTATGTTATGTTAAAAGATTTTGGAACCTCACCACATCATTATAATCCATGTTGCTACATCTAGTCATACTCTATCTGATGACCATTTCATATTGAGAATAGACATGCATCATAGTTTTAATTTAAAAAGGCTCCATTATAAGGCAAGCATATCCAAAGGACACAAATCCTCCATGGGGCTCACCAGAATCCATGTAGTTTATGAAGATGACAATTTCTCAGCACCTGTTTTGATAGTCTGATTGCAAAGAAACCCATAGGTGCTATGCTGCATCTGGTGACTTGACCAGTATGTTTTTGCATAGAATAGCTTGAACACCCCTTTCATTCTCCAGGTGCTTGTAATATGTGACAGTTGAATGGGAGTTTTGATTAGAAGCTTTATCTTGGTGAACTCATATCCTGCTGGCCTTATTTTCAAATGGAGATCCTTTTTGATGTTTTTGCATACTGTTGTCTGGGGTACATACATGGCTTTTGCCACTAGGTCTAGCCTTTGTGTTCATGGATTATCACATGTTACAAGATGCCAGACTTTGCCTACAGTGGCTGTAGTACAACTTGTTGCAGGTTTTTTTCTGGATGGACTTGGTGTCCCAAGTTAATCTGTATTCCTTTGTCTTGGAAATTCTAAATCCCAGATCTGAATACATCTTTATGATGTGAGTGGAAAGGGCTGTTACTTATCTTCTATATGTTGTAGGTTGTCGTGTGACTTACTGATTTGTACATTGAAAATTGTTTTAATATAATGTACTCAGACTCTGTATTAACTCTTTCAGCATGTGCTCAGTCCCTGGGACTGACCTTGTAACCATTTTGTGCTTGTTATAGTTTTCATGGTATAACTTTTAAATAAGTAAGGATATGTTAACAAAATTTAGCAGATTATCAGTAAACATTAAAATGCTTTCATACACAAAATATGAAATTTTGCTATTAAGTCTTAAGGTTTATTAAGCAATGTTTTTCTCATGCCTATTTTTTTGCATGTTGCCTATCCAACTTGCAAAGTAATTTTCATTTTAACATTAAAAATACTTTTTTTTG